TGACAGGGTGGCAGAGTCTTTTCTGTGTGGTGCTAGATGTTTCTTTCAGGAAACCAGCAAGCTGGTAGTGAGGCTGTTAAAACTAATACCTACAGACTGAGTCAATATGCTACCTTTCATTTTTCCAAATTAATGACCTGGGTAACATTTCTCAGTGCCATTGTCTTCAGGGTTCTTTAAATAATTCCAGATGATTCATGCAAGAGCCTGCCTCCTAGTCACACTTTTCCTTTTTTTGATATAAGGTATTGCTACACAACCCAGGCTGGCCTTCAACTCATGACATCCTTGCCACAGCCTCCAGCATGCTGGAGTTACAGATATGTCCCACAGTGGCTATCTGCTTGTAATAGGAACCTAAAGGTTTTTCCTGTGTATGACCTCAACTAGAATTGTATGACAATTAAGTTAACACTGCGTAGATAGAGAAAACAGCTCAGTTGCCTCAATAGGGAAATGGTCTGTGTGGATAGTGTGCCCTTTCCTTTAGAGGCAAGCTTCAAAGTGAGCTATCCATTGTCCAGCATCCCTAAACTCCCATTAGATGTCTGCTGTACGGAATACGCTAGAGGAAAACACCCAATGTTCTAGATAAGAAAGCTGACCAGAATGCAGACTGCACTGTGGGTATCACGTTCTGAAATGGCACTCCCCATGAGAGGATGAAGAGCAAAAGCACAAGACCCACAATCCCGATGGGTGCTAGTGCTGAAAACGAACAGGCCAGCCTTCTTGTCTGTATGTAACAGCTCACAATAATAACATCCATAAAACCATCGACAGATAGTGATTTGTTTCATTACAGGCATCTAAGGAGCATTTTGAGCTTTTCAAAACACTTTGATATACATCATTGTCTTTGCCCCTAGGCCTTTATCTCAGGGAGGATGATGAATGATTAAAATGAGATAAAGGAACAAAATGATGAATTAAAAATGAATGAAGCATCTTAAGGGGACAGCATGAAGATGGAGAGAATTAAGAACTGGTTTCATCAGTGCTAAGGAGGCCCCTAGCTTAATGTTCAGGTGAAGTTGGGGAACTCCTCATGGACAGGGCTCAGTTTTCTTAAGCTCCAGATGAATGTATCCCCATTGCCTGCTATTCATCTTCCCCTAACCACATCCTATTCACTCCCTTAGCCATCTTCAGCATTTCCCTTCTCAGAATACAGTTTTCTCTCTCATGTCTCAGTTGCCTATACCACAAGCTGGAGATATCACCTTAGACCCCCTTCTCCCATCCCAACATTTATAGTTCCCTGTGGATCTGTCTATGGCATAACTAGCTAAAACTGTGTTCTGAGCTCCTGATTTCCTATTAGTCTGGGACACTCTTCAGCTAAACTCCTAAATGATCCACCTTCAAGTGTCAGTCTCAGCCTTTACTATGTCAAGGACCTATCAGGTCAGTGACTTGTTATATGCAGTAGAACGAGAATATACCCCTACTTGCCCTCACTGACTTGGTTGTCCTGATATCGTTTTGAAGCTTTGTTGTACTTAACCTCAGCTAAGCTTCTCCCCTGCCTGTCCTGTTCTTTCAAAGCTAGCCTCTTCCACCACTGCCTAGAGCAGAGTTTGGCTCACAGAAGAGAATGAGTAAGTGTTTGGTATAAAGGACAAACACAGCCATTCATTTTTAGCTTGTCTCCATAGTTACTATCCAACCCCATACTTGAGAGGACACTTGTAAGTAGAGAAGGAACCGCCCCCAACCCAGGGCAAGAAACTCCATCAAATCAGTAGTGGGGAGCTCCTTAGAGTCAAGATACTCCACTCTAAGCACTTACACACTACGTAGCCTTGAGCCAATTATTTGAGTCTCAGTACCCTGGTCCCTCTACACCTCTCAGAGCTGACTTAATAATGATGAAGTCACACAGTCAGTGGGTCTACCCCCAGAGGGCAAGCCAATAGCCACAGCTGCTTATGTTTCCCTGTGACTCCTGTGAGCCAGGAGTTCTGATTGCTAGCCTTCACTCTTATACTTTCTGATTCATTGGGTGAGGAAAGACTAGGACTGGGTCTACTTAATTCTTAACTAATTAAGAACTTACTCCTTTTGGGTTACTGTGACACAATATCATAGAGTGGGTTATTTATAAACAACAGAACTTCTGTTTGTACAGTGCTGGGAAAGGCCTGACTACTGGCTCATATACCAGTCTTCTCATTGTGCCCTCACATGGTGAACGAGCAAGAGAGAATGCTGGGGTCCCTTTTACAACAGTGCAAATCTAATTATAACCAAGTCACTCCAAAGGCTCCATCTCCTACACCATCCTATGGAGACCCCTAGTTCAACATAAGAACTGAGGTAACAAAAGTATCCAGTCTCTAGCAATACTGATGCTCCTGGTCCAGGAACTCCACACTGAGAAACACTGTTCTAGATGCCTCTATGGACATTGCTCACCCTATCCTCACAAAGCACACTATTTCAACACTCAAACTTCATTTTTATTTCTTACCCATTTTTTTTTAAATTTTCTAGAATCTCTACCAAGTCTGTAAATTCCTCTGGGCAGAAATTATACTTTCCACACTCTGCACTCCCTCGTTTTCTGTTTTGCAAAATAATGAGTACATTTCCAGTGTGATTAATAATAGAATAGGGAGAGGGGAGAAAACTCCAAATACCAACGGTAATAAAGAGCATCTACAAATGGATATCAGCCCTGGATTCTCTGAAAAATTAATTATGAAGCAAAGAACATTCTACCATCAGTGGTGATGGGAAAAAAAGATTATTTTCTTTATGATACATTTTGTAGAATGTAGGCTATTTGAGATTTAAGCCTAACTTACTTAAATACCAACATTTCTGGAAACACAATACCCACAAACAACATTTCAACTCATAATTTTTATAGTGATAGTCAGACCACTGTGTCTGTCACATGTAAAGTCCTTTATACAGTCGTGGCAACTGTTTGCAATAGGTTATAAATTTTTATTGAGATGATCGTCTCATGATTGAATTTCTAACTGCATTATATGATCATGAGCAAATAAGTCCACAGGGGCTTTGAAAGTGCTTTGAATATCATTTCTAAAGATCAGAACCCCTCGAAAACCTTACATTTACCTTGTGGAAAAAGGGAAGTCTCGTCAACAGGTTCAAATCAATTATTTTTATGGATGACTATTACAGTGCAGAGCTGAGGTAAGGTATTACCAGGCTTAATAATGTACCCTTATGTCCTCTGAAAGCAGTCAGCTTCATAATCAGGTTTCAATGAGGAATTTTACCAAAGACCAGTTTAGAGAAATCGTTGGGAAAATGGACTCTCTGCTCATCATACTTGTTCAATAACTTTCCAAGGAATAAGTCTGAGCCATGACATGTTAGAGATCCTTGGCTTCTAACTATCAGCTGCACTACTGAGACACCCAAGATTGGCTACTGTCAACTCTGCTCTGCCACTCAAATTGGTTCACAAACAACTGGAAACCTAAAGTTTGTTCCAAAACAATTGATCTATGAGGAAACAATGTAAGCACAGAGCAAAATACTACATCTGGGATTGTGCTTACCAAAGACAAAAGTGAAGTAAAAACTTAAGCCACACACACAAACACACACACACGAGGCTGTGACCCCCTACCATTACTTGTGAAAGCAAATGTCAAGCTGTTCCTGAGGTGGTTTGTTATCTACATTATAGTATTTTGCATGTTCTGATCCACTTGATGTCTAAAATTGTGCTCCCACGCTTATGCGTCGCTAAGGATACAGGGGTGACTCTACCCCCATTTTTCCTCCTAAGCCCTGTGGTCTTTTTATTGCACAACACTCCTAAGAGCAACGAATTTAGGGACATGGTTGTCAAACTATAACAGCCCATGTGACATACTCAGAAGTGTCCTGTGTTGCGATTCTTCACTGCCACCTCAGAAGCTTCTTTGGTGCATTTTCCTTCAGAAGTCTACGCTGGATGCTTCACTAAGCCCCAGCACACAGCAGCACAGCAGCACATACCTTTCTATTCATCATGGAGTAAGGAAAGTTTCAGAGCTCTGGAACCCAAATCCCAAGTCCAGAACCTGACTGTACCACTGGTCAATTCGGCAAGCTTTGAATAAAATAAGAATATATTGTCTATCTCCCTTTGTGTCTCTATGGAACAAAAGTACTTTCAGGGAATGATATTTGAGGATGATAAGAAGATAATGTGAGTTTTAGAAAAATGAACATCAGTCTCCCTTAATTTCCTAAGTTCCATTGAGAGATCCGATCTTAGCAAACAGGCAAAGCCAAGAGACCACAGGGATATAGTTGTATACAGAGAAGCCTCCTAGTCACACCCACAGTCAACAGCTCTTAACCAGGAATAGCTGGGAAACAACTGGAGCCAGAAACCCAGAGTTAAAGGAGAATCCAAAGGCCTCTAGTGGCAGAAACCAGCATCCCCTAGAGTATTTGGAGTTGAGTAGTTCTCAGGGACCAAGACAATTTCAGAATCAACTCTGAGAGACTGTCAGAACCAGGAAGCCATAAATAAATAGCTGGAAGTAGGATCTCCTCAGAGATAAAACTAGAACCAGGAACCACCAGGTCAATGACCAGATCTAGTCTGTTTGGTCCTGGGCCAAACAAACTGTACATATTAGATATACAAATGGAACCAGAAGCCTGCAGAGATGTAGTGTACATGGGGATTTGAGAGGGACAGTCAGAAGAAAAATCCCTCAGTGACACAGAACTAAGGCCCCTCAGAAACATGCAAATGGCACCAGGATTTCTCATCATGATGGAGCCAATGTCCCATCAGAAATACTGTCAACATGATGAGTATTTCCATGAACCAACCAAAGGCAGAGGGTTCTTAGAATCACAGCCAGAGCTGAGAGAATCTCTCAAGTATGAGCAAACCCTTAATTGTTTTTCAATAAAAGGAAGCAGATTTACATCAGAGAGACTAGGAATGACCTATACCCAAAAGGCAAGAGGAGGACAAGTCAAAAGAACAGCTCAGTATCTGGAGGTATCCTTACCGGCACACTTGGTCCTGGTAGTGAGGGGAGGTCCTGGTGGTCCTGTGCCCCCCTCGCCTGGTCGTGTGAGCAGCACCCGGATCTCGTACTCCACATCAGGGTCCAGATGCCAGAGCTTATAGTTGGGAGAGTCCACGATGTGGGTCTCGGCCCAGGTGCCTGTGGTTGTGCGGTATTCTACCTCCTTCAGAATGATGGGGCCGTCCCCAATAATGGAGTTGGCATTTGGTTTAATCCACAGGTAGGTGGCCCCCACGGCCAGCAGTTCTGGGGGAGCAATGGGCGTGGGAGGCTCTGAAAGAAAGGAGGCAAGCAAAGGAATTTCAGTCTTAAGTGGCACCTTGAGCTGGATCCGCAGGACCCACACAGTGAAAGGAAAAAACCAATTCCTGAGAGTTGTCCCTGACCTCTATGTGAAGTATGTGCTTGCATGCATTTGTGCATGTGTGCGTGCGTGCGTGCGTGTGCGTGTGCGTGTGTGTGTGTGTGTGTGTGTGTGTGTGTGTGTGTTCCCACTTACTGTTACTTGAGTGAATATGTGTTTAGGGGTGACTGGTTGAGCCTTCATTACCTGTCAAGAGCTGATTCTCCCTCCTTCAGCAACTACTAAGTGCCTGCTTGTAGCTCTTCATTTAGGGGTGGAGCCTTTTAGATTTTTCCCATATACTCTGGTGTTGTCATTATGAGGGTCTTGTTGAAGGACCATGCTATTGAAATCCCATGGGTGCAGCTGTCTCATATACAAAAGACATCATCTCACATCACATGCCTTCAACCTGTGGCTCTTCCAATCTTTAACCTCCTCTTCCAAGTTCTGTTCTGAGCCTTAGTTGTAGGGGTTGTGTTATAGATAGATGTACCAATAGGGTTGCATTGCTTTCTGAATTTTGCCAATTGCGGGTATGCTCGTTCGCTTTATGTCAGCTTGACACAAGCTAGAGTCATTGGAGTGGAGGAATCCCCAATTAAGAAAATGCCTCCATAAAAATCAGGCTGCAGGTAAGCCTGTAAGGCATTTTCTTAATTAGTGTTTGCTGCGGGAGGGCTCAGTCCATTGTGGGCAGGGCCAGTCCTGGGATGATGGTCCTGGGTTCTACAAGAAAGTGGATTGAGCAAGCCATGAGAGCAAGCCACTAAGCAACACCCTCCCATGGTCTCTCCTGCCCTATCAGCTCCTGCCTCCAGGTTCCTGCCTTGTTTGAGTTCCTGTCCTGACTTTCTTCATTGATGAACTGCAATGTAGAAGTGTAAGCCAAATACGCCCCTTTCTCCACAGGTTGTTTCTGTCACAGTGTTTCATCATAGCAATAGTAACCAATCAGCTCCATCTACTGCAAAAAGACTTCTCTTTGATAGGGTGTGAGAGCAACATGTAACATGTATCTGTGGGCATAAAGCTAAGTAGGCAGATTATAGTTTAGCACTCTACCGGTCTAGAAATGCGACTGGAGTCCAGAATCTCATCAGCCATGGGTAGCTAGATAGGGTTATAATACCAGTCATATATCTCCTCCCATTAAGGAGCCCTAACTCCAATCAGACAGCTGACAGTTAATCCCAAGACTCGATTGACACTATTGTACAACATCTTGCCATGCTGGTAATTGTCATGGTAGGTAGCTCGGTGAAACAACCAATTGCTTTTCTAGTGGTGCGTCTTGCATGAAACCTCTGGAAGCTCTGAGAACTTATTCTCAGGGAGGAGGCTTCTGGTTGGTTCCCCTGCAGATCCCGTAGACTACTAGCAGAAACCTCTGAGGATGATGATATAAACACAGATAGGAAAAAGATGGTGCAACAAAAATTCAGCTTCTCCCTCACCCTGACAGGTTCCTGCCAGCAGAGAGCTTCCTTGTCTAGTAGGGGCCCAGCAAGAATCAAGAGCCAAAGGAAAGGTCATACCAAGTTACCTACTAACTGATGTACATAGCACCTTACTTAGGCAGCATATACTTAACCAAACAGACCTAATCAAACTCACAGAGCAGTGAAGTGGAATGAAATGCATAAACACCATGCAGGGTCTCCATATGTAGACCAGGCTGGCCTCAGGCTCACTATCCCAGGCTGGCCTCAAATGCCAGATTCTCTTGCTTCATCCGTCCAAATTTAGAGATTACCAGTATGCATCACCATCCTTTACCAAGTGGCAGTTTGTTTCTCAAAATATTATATTTTCTGAAAAATTATTTTATTTGGAGCTGGAGAGATAGCTCAGTGGGTAGCAGCATTTCTTTGCTCTTGAAGAGGACCTGAGATGCAGTCTCAGCACCCACATCGTGGGTCATAACCATCTGTAACTCCAGTTTCATGGCTCTGACACCTTCTTCCAACATCCATGGACACCAGGCACACAAGTGGTACACAAACACACACTCAGGTTAAGCACTCATACACATAAAATAAAATGAACAAATCTTTTAAAATTTAAATATTTTATTTAATATTCACACATGTATAGTATTTCTATAGGACTTCTACAAGATCAACCAGAACCCTATTACAGATTGGGAAGGAGCTCGTAACATACCACTCCTATTTGAGGAATATGATATCCACAGGGAGAGTGAGAGCCACTCTTTTTTCAGGGATGTGGACTCTGAGATATGACCCATGAGCCAAAGAATTTATTTTATTTCTGATTGTGCATAACTGTGTATGTATTTACATGTGTGTGCAGATGCCTGCAAAGTCTGGAAGAGAATATCAGATCTCCTAGGCTTGGAGCTATGGCTTGGGCACTGAGAACCACACACTAGCTTTCCACAAGAACAAGAAGTACTCTTAGCCACTGAAATCTCTTCAGTACCTCCACCCCCCATTTTGTTTGTTCATTTTCGTTTTTGTTTTCTAAAACAATCTTGGTTTGTTCATCACTTTTATTTGTGACAAACACAGAAGTGGAGCAATAATCACAGAAGGAAAGAAAGAGAAAGCATGTCCTCTCTTAGCAGCCAACATAACAGCCTTGGACATTTCTGCAGATTCTGATCCAGCTCTTACTCATGTGCTCACATTGTTTCCCCTAGTTTCAGTGACACACAGGCCAGATGTAGATGTGTTTTGCTTCCCTCACATGACACATCCTCATAGTTTTGGTTATGGGATATAGGGGATTTACTGTCTGTTCTAGGTACCAAATAATTACCAAGCTATCATCTTAATTACTCTCCTGTTATTGGACACTTGGGCTGTTCTAAGTTCTTCTATGGTAAATAATTCTGCCACAGGCATCTATGCAAATCATTTCAGGCCTTCCTGTCTGAGTCTGGTAGTGTTTCATAACAATGGGGTTATCTGCCAAGCGGAATGAACAAGTCCTTGAATCCTACAGCAAAATGTTGAGGTGATAGGGTGAACGGTCAGATGCAGATTTATTTAAGCACTCTTTACCATGGAGAGTCTCTGGGTACTTAGGTGTATAAATGAAGGCCTGAGTTTAGTTTGGGACTCAAGTGGGGAGACTTTAGGATAGAGAGCTCATTCTGTGTTTTTGCTTTTAATTAATTACCTAGCATTAAAAGGTTCTCCAGAAGCAGAATAATCTACTATGAACCAGGGGTGGACAATACAGTCTCAATGTGACTCGAAGCTCATCTTGAGGGACAACTTCAGATTGCCTCTATTATTGCTCGCCATTTGGTCAGAGAAAGGAATTAAGCAGATTAGTCAAGCTAGGTGCTTTTCTTTACAAAGCCATGGAGGTTATTACTCAAGACCTTGTTATCTCAAAGGTGTTTGCAAATTGATTTTGGGATAATTTGTTCCAGGTAGAGAAGTTAAGTTGGCAGGCAGATAATTTCTGGGCTCATCCTTTGTGCATTTTAAATATATAGAGCCTCTGACTGCCATTATCAACCCCCAGGAGCTCCCATCAGTCTCCAGTGAGGCCTCAAGGGTGATATTCTGTAGCTCCGTGATGACTCTGCCTAATTCCTTAATATAATTATTCACAGACCGGCTCTGGACAGGATGAAGAGCAACCCACTCCGATGCTGTGGGGGCTGAGCAGTGGCTACATTAAGCTCTTCCATCGACTTTCTCCCATGGTTTACTGCTCTCCTATTTCAGGCATTAGCAGTTTTCAATTTCTGACCACCAGAAAGAAAATACAGTATTAATCTTTCTAAACATTTACTCTCTTTTCATGTATTTCTAATGGTAGGTAGAAGTACAATAACAAACATCCTCTTGAGTGTATAAATGTCCCCATCTCAAATGGCAGGTTCACAAGCTCAAGTGCAGTCTAGACATTGTGGCATACCCATGTCTCTCTTTCTCCTCAAAAGTAGATCAGGTAAATTCAGCATAGTGTTTCCTGGTGTTTCAGTATCTTAAAGCATTAGATAATTGCTTTTGGTTTTTATATTTTTATTTTCCTCTTTTTTGTGATATGCTGGTTTAAAACTAGTATTATTTAGAAGGCATGTATACACGTGTTAAAGGGAGAAAGAAGCAGGAGTGAGGGACAGAACTTTCTTGTTAACAAACAATATGTCATTTTAAATGAATAGAAAGTTTTACATTGATTCTTATCATAATTCTCTTCTATATTTAAGAAGAACTCTCTAGTAAGAACATGCAAGAGATGCACAGGGATATCTAGTCCAGCTTAGATGTACCCTCCTAAGATCTCAGAGATATCCAGAGGAGTAGTGAGTCTCAGATGGCACTGCAAGATATATATATAAAGGAAATGGAGCAGGTGGAGCATTAGAACTCAGGTCCAGATTCTTGCCCCTCCCTTTCTCATTTTATATTTACACATTTATGGAATTAAGCAAAGTGTCATTAAAAATGTGTATACCAGGAGTGTTTAGTTTTGAGTAATACAGAGACCCTAAAACTTCAATAAGAAATTAGTTGTTCTTCAGAGAAATGTGGAAAAATTCACTGCCCAGTGTTCTTTGCATTATTTCAGAAATTCGTGAGTCCTTCTATTATAGTTAATATTCCTCAGCAACTTAACTGGATTTAGAATCACACAGGAGATGAGACATACTTCTGGGCATATCCATCTGGAGGTTTCCAGAGAGGTTTGGCTAAGGGAAGACCTACCCTGAATGTGAGTGACACTGTGCCATGGACTGGGCTCCTGGAGCTTATTAAGAAGGGTAGGGGGAGGAAAGTGATTAGGCAGCAGCAGAATTCATATGCCTCTACTCCCCCAGGACAGATGCAATGTGACCAGCTGCCTCATGGTCCACCACTGTGTCTTTCCTGTTCTGATTGACAGCACACCCCTAAAAAAAAGGGCAAAATAAAATTTCCCACGCCATCGGTTGTTTTGTCAA